TCTGTAATCATAGATAACAACACAGTAAGTGCTTTTTGGAGATAAACAGCAGTTCTCTGTCATAACGTCTTTTGTAAGAGAGAGAGCAGAACCCCCGTCTTATCAGGAACACAAAGAAGCGCCGCTTACAACGAGCCGGATCTGTTTCACCATTCACAATGGCTCAGGTAAGTGAAACATTTTGTAAATTCCATTATAAATAGCCAGGGTTTAGAGAATGGGGGTAAAGAATGTTTTGAGGGTGTCCAGACAAGACCAGCATGAACACAGGTAACCCTGCTAGAAAAAGAAATACAATTATTTTCAATTTACTAAAAAGCTACGTGTGTTAACTGCTACCATTTTCATTTCACACCAGTGGGGACTATCATAGCGTGAATGGAGGACGTATCGAAGACCGATTCAGCAAGTATTTAGCTACAACTCTACTCTTTTGTATATTCGTTTCTTTTTTTCTGAAAAACTATTTTATACCCATCAGACACCTATTTTCGTGTGTATGAACAAGCCTTTCGACAACAACAACAACAAGCGAGACTGAACCCCCAGGCGTTCAGTAAGTTTAAAGAATCAAGACTGAAATAAAAAAAATATATATAGGGTGTGTTTAGACAATACAGGCCCATTCTCTCTCTTTTTCTTATTAAAAAGAATCGGGCAACCAGCATCAACCACCCCTAGCTGCCCCTGCCCCTCAGGATACTGAGTATTATAATATTCTCTTGGTTAAGTCTATATGTATACCTTTTTTTATATATATAATAAGTGTTCTTACCGTGTGTAATAACGTATAGTTCCAGACAATGTATTACTGATGCAGTCCACCCCTCAAGAGGAAGAAGAAGAGCAACGATACAAACAAGAGGGACCGGAAGTTCAGGATAGAGCTGTGCAGCATCAGATGACTCAGACAGCGCCCCCTCAAGACGAGCCTGATCAGAAACCTGTGATTCAAGCAGCCCCTGGAGAATCGGCCCCGGTGCAGCCAGAGCAACCACGCTCGAGCAGGGCTTCGGTCCGATCAAGTCGCACAAAACGGGAGCGCGCACCATCTTCTGATTCCTCCTCCTCGGGTCAGCCTGTTATGATTATTATTATTATTATTATTTCTACATGTATTTTTAAAACCCTCAACATCAACAGCTTATTTTAACCCTCGTTTATATTTATCCGTACAGGCTCTCGTAGGACGAGGGTTCGGCGGGCGCGCGGTTGTGGATGTCCTGGAAGACGAGATGAGCGGAGCTTCAACCCATACGCTAGGTGTCACTCGAACATGTTATTAATGCATCTTAACCGGCTGTTATTTGAATCCTTTCACTTGATGGGTGATATTCTGACTTGTTACAGCAACAACAGTGTTATTAAAAATTAAGATGGATGAAGATCTGATTAATGTGTCCCAGGATGAATGTATTGACAATGTTTTGCCATCAGAGGGGGGTAATACATTAAGCATATTAGAAGCAGATGTGAGTACGCTACTGCAGGAAATAACACAAGCATCCCTAAACTGTATTGACAATGTTCAGCCACCAGATGGGGGTAACACCTTAGACATATTACAAGCCCAAGTAAATGCGTTATTGCAGGAAATAAGAAGTAGTGTTTTGCTTATGCAACGTTTTGCCTTGCTTTTATGTAAAGAGGTTTACCTAGTATTTATGTTCCCTATTCATTGTATTGTTTCCAAATAAGGTTTAGTCAATTTTATGGTGTGAACAGTGTGTAAATGGTTTTATGCACAGGGAGGCAAGGCCCTCTTATATTTGGTTGATTCATTGATTTGTGGTGTTTATTTAATGGTGCCTTTAACCTGTTGACTCTGACCATTTCATTCCTGTTTTGCACTGTATTTATTGAGTGGGGGGAAACTTCTTATCGGTAGCATTTTAGCTTCTGGGGTTAGGTTTCTTAAAACATTTTCATTGTTAAACTATACTTTGACTCGAATAAAGTTTTATCTGTGTGAGTAACTCCCACGTCTCCGTCTTTGCAGAGCTATCTGGGGGTAGCAGCTCAGTACTGGGGAAGTTTGCAGGAGTTTGACCTCTGAAAACAGGAGGGGTGTTATTCTTGGGGGAATTACTAAGAGTTACTATGGTCTGAGTTGCTTAGGCCTGTATATTGGCCCGGTCACATAAGTCATTCCAAACCTCTCCTCCATTCTCGTTTCATTGACTGGTCTCCAGGTTTGCTAACTCCTGACTCTAGTTGACCTTTAGTGACATCAGAAGCCTGGTGTCACTGTCTATGTTTAATGGCTCTGTTCAACAAAGACACGAAAGATCAACTGTTTGTTTTATCAGCTTAGAAATATTGTTTGTTAATATTTGTGACTGTGGTGAAGATCAGGTCACAGCTCATGACCAGTTTGTGCACGAAACCAACAAACCACAAACAGTGCTATGAGTTTTTCTTGTGACTGTAGTTTCTATTGTCTCCTTATCGAGAACCAGTTTTCCAAAGCTAAATCAACACAAACCAGACATCAGAGACACATCTCACCTTTGCTGTGCTGAGACAGAGTCAAACAATCTGAGCCTTATGGCTGATCCCAGGACAGCAAATAGAAACATCATGAAATGTTATTTATATGTGGTAAGAAATTATTCTCCAGTCCTGTTTTTACTTTCATAATTCATCAAACATGTGACCTTATGTCTCACTTCATGTCTTTAGGCCATGAATATGACAACTAAAATAGGTCACCAGGTCTGTTTTTCTGGATATTTTTTTGTTCATGACCAGTTTATGGAAAAAAACCAGCAAACTGCAAACAGAGCTATGGGTTTTTCTTGCAACTGTAGTTTCTCTATTCTCTTCTTATTGAGAACCAGTTTTCCAAAGCTGAATCAAATCAAATCTAATTTATTTATATAGCATTTTAAAAACAACATCCAACTGACCAAAGTGCTTTACATTGCAGAATAAAATCACAATAAATGACTAAAATACATTTCTCCCGTTCCCACTAGCATCGCTACCCATCGCGCTCGGCCTCAGCGAGAGCGCAAAAGAAGGTCACTTCCCCCATGGGTTCAGCTCGGAGGAGCATCTGAATTATGTGGGCCCGTTCCCCCAGCCAGACTATTACAGGGTTAATCAAATGAGTGTCAAGAAGAGAGCAGAGTTTATGAGCTGGTATGAGACCGTGTGTCAGGGGGAGTTTGATTTTGCGAAGGAGGCTGTAAGATATTGTAGAAATGACACTGTGATTCTTATGAAAGCCTGCATGAAATTTAGAGAGAATTTCATGAATGAAACCAAGCTGGATCCTTTTAAACGATCTCGTGTTTAGGACGTGCTTTCTGCAAGAAAAGACACTGGCAATCCCCTGCCCTTACGATTACAGGTACCGCGTTAAGAAATATTCAGACGCCAGCATCCAATGGCTTGAGTGGGTTATGGCTACAGAGGGCGTGTTCATACAGCACGCCCTAAATCATGGGGAGAAGAGTTTTGGCGCGTGGCATGTGGACAGGTACTGTGAGCTAAACAGTGAAAAGAAAGCTTTTGAATTCCTGGGTTGTTTTTACCACGGTTGTCTTAGCTGTTTTCCAGGCCATGGAATTCACCCTTTAACGGGAAAAATCTTCGAGGAGCTGCATGAAGAGACTCGAGATAGGTTGGCTAAACTGCAGAGCATGTATGGGCTGAGCCTTGTGGTCATGAAAGAGTATAGCTGGAGTGAAATGAAAAAATCTGACGAGGGTGTGAAAGCTTTCCTACAATGCTATAAATCCCCAGAACCGTTATCCCCGTGAGAGGCGTTGTACGGAGGGCGCGTTTGCCCCGTGACTCTCAGGTATACAGCAGCCAAAAATGAAAAGATCAGTTACGTGGACTTTACATCCCTGTATCCCTATGTAAATTACACGTGTCCGTACCCCATTGGTCACCCTGAGATTATATTCAGGGGTTTTCAGCCTGTCCAATCTTATTTCGGGTTCATTAAGGCTAAAGTATATCCACCCAGAGGCCCTGTTTTTCCCTGTGCTACCCTACAGAACCAGTAGAGGGAGACTTGTGTTCACACTATGTAGAACATGTGCGGAGGTGAATCTGCAGACCGGCCCGTGCCCGCACTTGGACGAACAGAGGGTGCTGTCCGGTGTGTGGGTCACCCTGGAGTTTGTAAAAGCTCTGGAGAAAGGATACAGACATGGTGAAATTAGCGAAGTGTGGCATTTCAAAGAACAGAGCTCCTCTCTGTTTAGAGGCTACATTAGTACATTTCTGAAGGGGAAGCAGGAGGCGAGTGGATACCCGGCAGGTGTCACAGATGAGGAGGGTAGAAGGCAGTACATTAAAGACTATCATGAGAATCAGGGCATCTTACTGGACGCCTCAAATATCGAGCACAACCCCGCTAAAAGACAAGTGGCCAAACTGTGTTTGAATTTTTTTGGGGGAAAGTTTCCGCAAAAATGCAATATGACTCAAACTCAGATCGTGAGCGAGCCCCAAACATTTTTCAACATGTTATTTTCAGGAACTCATGAGGTTAAATATTTTAACTTTCTCAACGACAACGCGGCCCTCATTCAGTACAGCAGCAGCAGGGGTGTGTGCTCGCGGCCCAACCCCGCTGATAATGTATTTATCGCAGCTTTTACAATGTGTCATGCCAGATTGAAACTGTACAGTCATATGGAGAGGCTTAAAAATAGGGTTCTCTATTACGATACAGATAGTCTAATATATACCACTAAAGAGGGGGAGAGCGAGTTAAAGCTAGGAAACTATCTCGGCGATCTCACAGACAAATTACATTCAGATTCCATCCAGGAATTTGTCTCAGCGGGTCCCAAAAGTTATGGTTATCAAACCAGAGCTGGGAAAGTTGAGGTGAAAGCTAAAGGCATAACCCAGTCGTACGAGTGCTGCCAGCGCATCAATTTTGATTCAGTCAAGGATCTAGTGGAAAACTATATTGAAAATTCAGAGGTTGAAATCTTGAGGGCCCCCCAGCA